GTAAAATCGTTAAAAGTCAAGGTGTTTTCTTTAATGGATAGGCATAAAATGAATAATTACAATAAAAATAAAAACAATAAAAATAAATAACATAATAAATAAATAAATAAATAAGTAAAATTTAAAAATGCAGGTTACGTGAAAAACCTAAACATTTCATATAAATTTGAATAAAAAAATCAACATTTTCACTTGCGGACATTACAGGTTTTTCACTTCTCAAAACAAACAAAAACTCTTTTAATATCTTCCATGATGAATAATATAGGGGTTTTCTTTCTCTCTATATAACTGCATTTATTTAAAATCGAAAGAAACCCATGTGTGATGGATGGCCGTTGCCACAATGTGCACTTAAAATACGAATTGCCCAGCAACATTCCTGAGTATCCGTAGATGACCCTACGAAAACCACTTAAGCCTTTTTAAAAAGATGTTTTGCAGTCATTAAATATTACAAAAACGCCTCCTTGTTTACTTATCCGAAGAGTTACGCACTATTTTAACAGTTAAAATACACCAAAACAACACATATTTTTTTAAGAAAAAACTTACGAACGCTTTGTGAACACACTTACGATTTACGTAAGTTTAAACGTAAGCGTAAGTTACGGTAATTCTTACGGAAAAACTTACGCAATGTTAGTAAAACGCTGCCCTGAACTATTATTCCATTACAATAGATGTACAAGTACAAAGTATACGCTAAACGTGTCACTAGAACTCATCAATGTGTCATATTTACATTTTCAAGCTGACGAATTAGGCGGAAACAAGGTTCCTATCCGGCCAAATGCCGAGATAGTTCTGTAATACCATAATCATTTTTTTGGAAAAGAAGTGACTATTTTATAGAAAAGTGCCGATATTATTATATTAAAGAATATTCTAACACGGCCCGCATTTTTCACTATTTAATATAGAAGAACCGAAAGTGCGTGTTATTATGCAATAGAGTCACAGCTGACGTTCTATATTAAGATATGTGACGTAATCATTATACATGTGACGTAACCACTAAAAGAATCCGACGCGCTTAAAATAAGGACGGAAACAAATCAGGCGCAATTTTGCTTAATATCAGGTACGGCAGCATTTATTTATTAATGTCGTGTTAGAATCGAATTAATATACCCAAATCGGTGATTTTATCGCTTGATAACATCACTGTTTGTCGTTCGGATGCGCATCATTATATCACTCGGGCTACGCCCACGTGATGTAATTCCTCGCATCCGAATCCCAAACAGTGATGTTATTGAGCGATAAAATCACTGTTTGGGTATATGAATTCGATTCTAACACGACATTAACAAATATTTCTTAAACAACATTTTAACGAATCCTTGACGGATCTATCTTATCTGACGGCGTATGAGCCATGACTGCTATGTTGAGCGGAACGCTTTGATTGAATATCATAACTAATTCCGTTGCCGAATCTCATTGGCTCAAAGTACTTTGAATATTTTAGAGGCGGGCAAATTTCATTTTGGAAGTCTATAAATACGAAGAGAAGCTTTTCCAACCGCAAGACACGGACTTACAAGGTTATAATTTGAACAGTAGCACAAACGTAACAAAAAATCCGCTAAACAACGAAAATCCGCCAAAACTTGAACATTCTGCTACGCGAATAGTCCGCTAGACGATTTAATTAGAATTCATGCGAAACACGTACATATAACCCCTTCTTTAACAACTTGGCATTGATGAACTCATGGCAGTAACAATACCAAGGGCGATAATTTATATGTTTTAGAGTATTTAATTATCCTGTTTTATACATTTATTCATCAGAAGATCTTAATAAATAAGATTAAATGTACTTGAGTGATTTTGGTATCTTCAAGTGTTTATATTCTTTTTCATTAATTAAGTTTTATGGTAAATAACCCTAACATTTAACTTCAGTAGCCTGAAAAGTGATACCGCCAAAATCATTTCAACAGTGACAACGGTAACAATATTTATATAATTATATCAAAGGCGACACTATGTAACAGGTTACTGTATATACCGGACTAGGCGCTTAAAAAGGTTATTATCAAGGAGAACGGAATGACGAGATTTTCACCTAGTGGCTTAATCAAAAGCTTATCATCAATATTCCAGCATGCAGTGTCGTGGTGATAGACAACGTACCTTATCTCACCATATGCGATGACAAGTTTCCAACGAAATAAAGTACAAAAAAATGTGATGACGTCCTTTTTTAATGGGCATAAAATATACTTCAACCAAACACGAAAAGGACACTCGCTTGCTAGCATTAAAAAATGCTTCACGTTGCGAGCAATTGTGACATGTGTTGCACAAAATTTCAGATGAATTGTATTAAAAGGTGTTATTTATATCCAAGACACAAACGCGAATTACACATGCATTGAAAAAAAGATATATTTTTTTATCAAAATGGAACTGCTTGGGTTTGAACCCGCATCAGTATGGTTGGAAGACCAGCGCGCTACCACTACACTACAACGTCTCAATCAGTTCATAGTTAGTTTTGATAGCATTGATTCCATGCGACAATACAACGATATTACCAGCCGGTGGAAAACTTTTTAACCAGAACAGGCATACCCATTATTTTTAGTTTTCGGATGTTGCATACTAGTACCTTGTCTTTAACAATATAACAAAACATTTTAATTCTTTTAATGTATGGATATAATATTGCATAAATAACAAGATTAAACATATTTTAGGTCAAATCAATGCGACAAGCACCATTGTTTTGAAATAGTGTCGAGAGTGGCTGACTTGTAAAAAATTAAAAATTAAACGTACCTAGTCACATCAAAAACGTTAGAATTAGATCAAAGCGCTGAAGACGCTGAATACGACATACGGAAATGCTGAGCTTAACTAGGAACTTTGGGTTACACATATACTCAGGTAACTTCAGAGATACACCGGACACGTAAAAGTCATTTACCAGTAACATTGAAATTCTGATGGCTTTAGTTTAGTCCGTCGCATCTAGTGCTTTCAGCGCTTTCATCTAAGTTGTAGAGATTTCGATATCGTTTACTTTTGAAAATATTTGATGTTCGGTTAATACAGGCAAATCACCGACAGAATAACTCAAGGTCTAGATCGTTGGATAAATGGTACTATGTACAGTCTTCTTTTGAACGTTTATCAGCTGGTTTAAGATGTAGTAGTAGTCACATTTGAAATATGACCGATCACACTGATAATAAATCATCTTCAAGCATACACATCTAGATATTTTGATCATAACAGTGTATATATATATACACACATTTATAATATTTATTTATTACACGATAATGGGAAAACGATAATTGCAACAATATAAGGCTTTCACACGAAATGCCAAGTCATAGAACACATGTCAAAAATATCAATGATCTTATTTAAATTTCCCTAGCAGGTAACATGCTGGAAACCTATTATTATTATTATTTGCTCGTTACCCGTCATGCTCGTATCCAACATATTTAAACTAATTATATTAAAATCAGAATATCCGGTATTGACAGTTTGTCGACTGGAAAATACCATGTACGTGATGTACGTTTGTAAGATTTATGTAAAATTTATGTCATGACTTTGAATGCACAACTTTCTTCCACTTACTCTTGCGCGCTACACAGGATCATAATGTCCACCATATCAGACAGGAAGGAAAGAAAGATGTTAAATGTAAAAAAATTAAAATATATATAAATACGCAAAAGAATACTTGCGCAAGTTTCTATGGTATTGACAAAGTTGCGATTTCCTCAGATAAAAATCTTTGAATATAGCAATGCATAAAATATATTTTGGGTAGGCCCACTATTTGAACTATGATAGTTTATATTTATATTGGAAAAAGTTGGCTTGTAAATATACATGGAATAATACACCATGACCGAAGCTAGTAAAACTGTATTGACTTATCTGCTGGTTTGTTTAGTGTTCAACCCTTTTACAGTTGGACACTACGCTTTCCTCTTTTGATTGCATCTGACGGACCAAGTGGGAGACTCTATGATGGATAGTTCGTAAAGCCCTTTGGGACTGAATTGTCTTAATGTTCGTCTTCTGCCTTGCTTCGTCGGGCCCTTGTAGGTGATTTTCTTGTTGCTCTGTCTTCCTTTAGGACATTGAGTACTTTTGTTATGGTCATTGGGTTTACTTTTATCTGTTCCTACATGATCATTTTAGTGTTTTACTTATTTAACCTTTTGTAACCATGACAACTGTTAGAATTTCACTTGGCGGGGATTCATTTTATTTACACTGTTTCGTTTATAGGAACATGGTGGGGCTAAGAGCGAGGTTTGGTGCACAATTAACCGGTTTAAACTCCCCAGCAGTCATTATTATGCTGCTGACCGTTCCAAGGCGGCGCCCCACTGTGTTCCTCAGATGTATGTCTATGTTGTTTCATACTGTTTTGGTGACACTTTTGCTTGTGTCCCTTGTTGTTTTCTCGTCTACGGTAAGTATCTTCCCCATTGCCTCTAGTTTTTATTTTTTTGATTAACCCCCCCCCCCCTTCCCCGGTCTCCTTCCCTTTGTGGGCCTATTATTATTTTCTTTGAATTCCTAATCAGTTACAAATTATTTATCATTTAATGATTAACCTGTCTTTGCCCTGTCCTTTTTATGTTTGGGGTCCGCCTGGGCTCCTTGCCATTGGTTCTTGTTGCTGGGTCATATGGGGGTTGCGTTCATTGAACGCCGCCTTTCCTTGTTGATCTTGTTTATCATATTTTTTGTTGGTCCCTCGGTAGTTTGATGCTCTTGTTTTCCTTAGGATTATATTTAGCTTCTATGACAACCTAGGACTATCACCTCATAGTTGTTTTATATATTATGACTTACAAACAAACTGCGCCAAATAATTATCTATAATATACGCATATTTGAGAACGTTCGAGAACCATTTACACAAAGGGTAAGCGGAAGCCAATATTCGTGGTAAATGAAACATTACCGGCCAATTGTTTAAGACTATCATTAAACAATAAATACATTAGTATCTTTGTATTAATTTAATTATAATTAAACATTAGAATGCAAACTAACTTTCCATTTTATTTCAAGGGTATAAGAAAAGTCCAGTAAACGAAGAAATACGTGAAGCATCACCCTCAATGTGAAAACCATTGTATCTATTACTGATCCATACTGCGTCACCCTGCTTTAACCTTATAACCACAGAATTTCCGCCTTGAGCATCTTCAGCACTATGCCTAGTCTCTGCTACAGCGTCCATAACGTTTTGGCTATTTACCTTTAAATCTGCATACATTTGTGTAATGCCTTCTTTCTCTCCCCTCTCTCCTATGAAGAACATGAACAGATACATTCCAGCTTCAGAACAGGTAAAAACGCCTGTATGCATGTTGTATCCATTTCCTTCGTTTGTAATTATCTGAATTAATTATATCATCTAAATATAGTCTCGTTTATCCAAATATAAGATACAAAAAATAAAACAGTCATATTAACGGGGGTGTAGAACCATTATTCACTGACTGAATTGGATTTTCCAAGTCTAATAATAGTCTAAGACCATGTATCGTAGTCTATTAATAACGCGTGCGCATAAAAAATGATTTGTTTTGGGTGTTTTTTGCGCAGCGTTCGTGTAGTCATTGAATGTCTGGCGTCATCTCGTGAACGTGCGTCTTTTACGTCTCGCTTCTGCAAAAACACAGGGATAAAACACTGTGATCTTATATGATCCCCTACCTTACCACTTTCCCTCCCTCCAGTCCCTCTTAAAACCCCCAATATATCATTTTAAGTCAGATTCCAAATTTAGTATTGATAACAACAATAATATTACATTATTACACACTTTTCATTATACCACTATAGAATTAGTTATACAAGGGTAGCAACTCCTTCGCCACTTCAGTACTTTTATTCTACCCAAAATTCTGGAAACAAAGTGATCCTTCGGAAGCATTAATCACAACAAAATAACATAAGAATCGCACACTCGGTTTGATTGAGTCTGTACATGAGGGATAATGAATAAGTGCAACATCCCTCACGCCTCCTAGCACCGGCTTGAGCGGTACTCAATTCTCAACACTTTATAGTGTTGGCATCAATGATCCCGAAGGACCAGAAAATATAACAACACTGAAGTGAAGTACGGGGCAACTTTTTACGGCTGCCACACGGCACTTGACACCTGCTGTTGTGAAGTACAAAATTCTGGAAAGAAAGTGATCCTTCGGAAGCATTAATCACAACAAAATAACATAAGAATCGCACACTCGGTTTGAGTCTGTACATGAGGGATAATGAATAAGTGCAACATCCCTCACGCCTCCTAGCACCGGCTTGAGCGGTACTCAATTCTCAACACTTTATAGTGTTGGCATCAATGATCCCGAAGGACCAGAAAATATAACAACACTGAAGTGAAGTACGGGGCAACTTTTTACGGCTGCCACACGGCACTTGACACCTGCTGTTGTGAAGTACAAAATTCTGGAAAGAAAGTGATCCTTCGGAAGCATTAATCACAACAAAATAACATAAGAATCTCACACTCGGTTTGATTGAGTCTGTACATGAGGGATAATGAATTAGTGCAACATCCCTCACGCCCCCTAGCATCGGCTTGAGCGGTACTCAATTCTCAACACTTTATAGTGTTGGCATCAATGATCCCGAAGGACCAGAAAATATAACAACACTGAAGTGAAGTACGGGGCAACTTTTTACGGCTGCCACACGGCACTTGACACTTGACAAGTTTACATTCAATGTCATAACTCCGCTTAAACTCTATATATTTTTAAAAACTTGGTCTCGATCAATAAAGTAAAGATATACGTATGAAATGCCATCTTCTATATAACGCAGTGTTAAGTATTTTTTATTTTATACGAACACTGAAACAGCCGTTAACGTGAAATCTGACAAGATCTTATTCACGTAATCATTGAAATTTCCACGTCTGAATCGGTTTAAAGAGGCAATATAACATAAGAAATATCATTGCATGCGTATAAACTAAACGATCGATGACATTCACCGACAAAAATACCGTCCGAATCTATTTTATACCATAGCTACACGAGAAAATATAAAACGGTTACATTCTTCGTCGCTGCACGCAAACTTTACCCGGAATACTCTTATTTTATCGTAGAGAGACGATCTTTTAAATGATAAAAGTAGAGTATTCAGGATGAGGTATTTATTTATGGAGGCATGGGAAAAGAAGGAAATTTCCGTTTTGCATTTCTTCGTGCAAGCGTAGCTGCGGTCTAAAATAGATCTAGACAATATTTTCCTGCCGCACAATCTACTGTTTTGGATTGATGCTAAGACTTATGGTAAAATATTAGTTTCAAATCTTAAGCAATTCTTTGATAAAAATAGTTAATCTTTAAAGCAAATCTAAAAATAATGCATGTATCAACGATTATGTTATGAAGTTTACTACCCAAATTAATACCAAAATTAAATATAATACAGCATGTGTATATACCTGGTTGAATTTGATGGTTTGTCCAGCACCAAAATCCGCATCGTGGTTCATGAAAGCTGAGAATGCAATGCTGCCATCTATCGCTAGAAAATATTTACCAAAATATATAAACTGAGCTGTATTCCTTCATTCAAAACTAAGAGAATTAGAATAAAAATCTAGAATGAAAAGAAAAGATGTAAAGATTTTATATTTCCCCTTGATTTGAAAAAAATGTTATATACCATATACATTTTAATGCATTGTATAATAAATTGTATAAAAGTATAGCATCAACAGGCCGATAAATATATTAACATTTATACTTACATTTTTTTACATTCCGTGAATGATCATGATTTTCTGAAACTTCATTTCTTTGAGTGACTAAACCTTGCCCAGATCTGCAATCACGTATAGCCGTACTGTGATTAGCGATTTGTTTTTCAAGAAAGTTTATCTTCATGTTTTGTTTTTTTATAATTATATCCTGTTTCTTTATCCATTTTTCTTGTTTCCTGTAAAAACAGATTAAAGCAATATGAAAAATTGTTATCAGATTATTCAAATAATGACAACAAAATAACATTCAAGCATTAAGATCAAAGTAAATATTGTCATCTTATGCGGTTACATGCAGGCCACTTTGTTGGAATACTATGAAATGTTGGTGGCTTATGAAAACCAATGAGTTAAATAACTTTTAACAAAAGTTGGTCTACCAGCAAGAAAAGTACAGAGAGAACAACAGATAAGGGAATGTTTAAGATGTTATCATCATTTGACAAGATTAAGAAGTGAAGAGTAAATTATAAAAAAGAAGAAAAAAACATGCCTTCAGATGTCATATTATTTAAAATTGCATAGATGAACAGATACTCTACTTACAGAAGTCTTTCTTCCCAACCAGCAAATTTTGCCACAACATCCTGTAGAGAGAAGCTAGTTTGGTTTGAAGAAGCAAGTGGAATTATACAAATTATGAATATTCCACACAATAACATTTTAAATGCCTTGGTGTACACACTGTCGGTTGAGAGAATAGTATAAAGTTCAACAAGAGATAAGACAAATCTTTCTGTTTAGATAAGGTAAAGTGATAGCATTTCCTCTTAAAGTCAGTGTTTATCATAGGAGTGTTTCTGCTTGCCATTATTTGCCGTATTTTGAACTTAATATAGTTACATAAAATTGTTCGCCATCGTTCTCTTTTTTCGGACGAAGTCCGTCTATTATCAGTTTGACTTCCTGTAAAAGTAACAGAGAAGGACTAAATTAAGAAGAATTTTTATTGGTCATTTTAAAATAAAAAATTGAAATCGTTAATACCATTTGTCATTCTAATGTGAAATGTAAAAGACAGTTCTAGCCATTCTAAAATAAAATGTCAAGGATAGCTCTTACCATTTTAAATAAAACTTTAAGGATATCTCTAAGATAAATTGTCAGGGATAGTTTTGCCGATATAAAATTAAATGTAAAGGATAGTTCTAAAATAAAGTGTACAGATATGAGGATAGTGGTTGAACCTTAAGGGTATTTTGTAAATGATTAATATGACACAATTTATAAGTCAAACGTAAAACAAGTAAAAGGGATACTTCAAATAGAAGTTGTCCTACTGTAAAAAATCATCATTATTAAAATGCTATAGTTTAATTCCAATGTTTACAAAATGGGTATTTTTTCTGAGCTGCAAGAAATAAAGAAATAACTGTTATGTCATTGTTAAGCAAGCATTGCTAACATTTCTTTTCGTATTGAAAACTTAGAAATAACATAAGTTTGCATGTTTACCAGCATTACTTCGACCGAGTAGTTTTTGAAGTATATTTCTTGTTTCTGTCTGTTTACATATTAATTAAAGTAATTTTTTTAATTATTGTATCTAAAATACTGTTTTCCCAAACATAATTATATGTATAAATAGTTCATAGTTTAATAGAACAATTAAACAGGCGCAATGTTTAACACACTAACACATTAAATGAAAACCAGTCTTTCACTTTTGTGCATTTTTATAAAAATGTTAAATGTTACTTTAGAAAATAACATATTTACGCAGAAAGTACTCAAATTTAGTATTTAAGGGATATATTTGATTTCTTTTTCTAATGTTATAATACATTATATGATAGAAACCTGTTTTATGTAATACAATAGAAATATTTAGAGTGTTAAAATTTTAATATACTGTTAGCCCTTTAACTTATAAAATATAAAGTATCATACTTCTTTTCTTTAGTTGGTATAGCACATTAAAACAAATATATGTAGGTGAGCGTAACAAAAAAAGGAACAAAAAACGAATGACTGTCAGTGAAAATGTAAATTTGTAATTAAAAATTTGATAGTGCCAAGTCAGGAAGAAAATTCGTTCCTTCCTTCCTTTTGTACTTCCGTTCAGTAGATTCTTTATGTCTGGGCCATAGAATTATTCATGAATGGAGTTTTTAATACTTAGCATAAATGTGAAGCTTATTCAGACCAAGTATTGTGTGGAAGTTCAAACGTCGAGGTCCTTTTTTAACTTCAAAGGAATTTTTCCATAAAAGCACATAGATGTTTGATAGGTCCCTACTCTGATCGTTCATTTAAATAACAGATGGTTTATCCACAAACATTGACATGTGCTTTTTTGATAACAAATATGTTGTGTTGAAATTCTAATTGTAATCCATTAATATGATAATAGAATTAGACAGGTAAGGGATATATGCATTATGTTAATCCAAGATAGTGTTTTAAAATATGTATGCATAAATATGTTAGACATGTTGCCGACATGTCGCGCACATGAGCTCAAATGCCATACTAGTACATCGAAAGACAAATATGGATATTTTATAAAAGTGCACAGAATTAACAATTTTGTTATTCCATGGAGGAATTTAAAGAATGCTGGGCATTATGCCGACGTATTGCACGCATGAATCAGGTTGCACGCATGAATCAGGTAAAATCTAAAAGGTCAGGGTGTCAAAATCATGGAAGATATATTGATTTTCATTTATCTTCAACAATCCTGAAATTCACTGGTGGATTTTAAAATAAATATACACACGGTGCATATCCATATCGGTACCCTCTTTGCGAAATCTGCTGAAACGGTACCCTCTTTGTACATGCACAGGCCATTCTCTGCTCAAAACAAACCAGCGATGGATAACAAGCCAGTAAAAATTCATTGTAATAAAGAAAGGAGGTATGACACGTGGAAAAGATGTATACCACGGAACACTAGAATGTTTTATCAATGTGCTGATTTGTCATGTGCCCGTTTTTCATGTACTGCAACTTCACAATAAGCTACAAAAAATCAACATGTCTTACCTCGCCCATCACCTCGACATACTTTTCGGGCTGAAATGAATCTTGGCTTGATTATATATGCATCATTCATATTTAATATGTTCATTTACATATCATCTTCGGACAAATTGAAATTTTACTGTATTGTTATCCATCGCTGGTTTGTTTTTAGCAGAGAGTGCATGGCCTGTGCATGTGCAAAGAGGGTACCGTTTCAGCAGATTTCGCAAAGAGGGTACCGATATGGATATGCACCGTGATACATGAATTTGTTGCATTTGAAGACGATGTACAGATGAGTTGTTATTCTTAGATGCTTATTTCAATAACATTGAGGGAAGCAGCCGAAATATGAAGGTCAAACTTGATGACATAAAAATGTATTTATACTGCATGTATTGTCCAGTCTATATAATTATTTGCAACTGAATGGCATATTTTAAAACGCTGGCTTAAATATGCGGTACTTTAAAACATTTTGTGACGAGATAGAACACTAAAATAGTTTTAAAGTTAAATTTCATAAAAGTACAGTACAGAGCATTGACGGTCGCTTTCAGTCAATTCTATAACTAAGTATAATAGACACATATGTGTAAGAAGTAAATGATCATATCCAGGCGGGAGAACATAATCTTCTTCTTTAATTTGCATTACTCTGTATCCACTGAAAAAAAATATGTGTAGGGACTTACAAGGTACCGCGTGTTACTTCTATTCAGTGTGGTTGTAGGTGTATTGCCCATGTAAAAATGAGTTTAAGATGAATTTCGTTAGATAAGTAAATCCAAATCAGTTATATAAATACATGTTTCCAGTTCATTCCTAAAGTTTTGTTTTTATTTGTTTCATAGCAAAAATTGAATAATTTTATTGACAATTGATTAAAATTGCTTTGTTTATCAATTCTTTTCACTAGATAAAAATTCAAACAAGATTGTAAACGGTGATAAAAATCATGAATTTCACATTAGTGAGAAGAGAAAAATGCCATGTTTCTAATCATCTGCATTTCCTATGATTCGATTTGTATATACGTATATTTATATTATTAGTTATAAAGATATTTGACAGATTTTATGGCCCTATATAAACGGTTGTTTGTAAATATATTGCAACAACCGTTTATATATGGCTATATAACCTGTCAGAAATATTTATATACATCAAACATCCTTTTAAGAGGAATAAAGCGGGATTGCTTTATAAATCGACAGCAGTCTGTATATATAACTATATAAACATCACGATTATCCAATAAAAAGCAACATAACAATGTGCAGTATTGTATATGTATAATTATATCAAAGGCGACACTATGTAACAGATGAAGGTATATACTGGACTGGGCGCTTAAAATGATAAAAACTATAAACTATCAGCATTTGATATATTATGGGTTAATGTATTAACTGCGTAAATGTTGTGTATAACATTTGTACTGTCGATTCAAATACAATCGAGAATGGGAAATCTTAAATTCAAAAGTACACAGGGGTGGCAGAAGAAAGCCATCCACGAAAACGCTTGACCAGGAAAACAGTTTACAGTTAATTATCTTGCCTATTATTGCGGTGGCTATGTTGCGTGGTTTGAATGCGGAAGGTCGTAATTTTAAATCCCACAAGGGTAATATTTTTGTTAGACATTTTTTCATTTTCTTTTTTAATATTATTTTTATTATACTTTTGATATATTTCCCATTGTTTTTATATATTATATATTATAAGTTACAATTCAATTCAAGTCAGCAATTCTAACAATGGTTTCAACGTCGAGCTCAGTGGCTCTTTCAGTCGCTAGCGCCGGTGCCGGTAAGTTCGTCTCCAGTGCCATGCCAGTATTTCGAAAGGTGATTACCAAGGAGATCTGAATGACGATATTTTCACCAAGTGGCTTAATAAAAAGCGTATCACCAATCTTCCAGCACGCAGTATCGTGGTGATAGAGAACTATCTTATCACACCATATGCGATGGCAAGTTGCCAACGAAATCAAGTACAAAAAGTGTGATGACGTTCTTTTTACATTGCTATAAAATATACTTCAACCAAACACGAAAGGACACTCGCTTGCTGGCAAAAAATAGATGCTTTTTATTTAAAGCAATAGTGTCATGTGTTGCACAAAATCTCAGATTAATTTTATTAAATGAGATTTGTAATTTATATGCATGACACAAACACGAAGTACCCATGCATTTGAAAAAAAAAACACATTTTCTTATAAAAAAGGGAACTGCTGATGTTTGAACCCCCACCAGTATGGTTGAAATACCAGCGCGCTACCACTACACGACAACGTCTCAGTGAAAAGACTATGGTCAATAAGTATTACTAAATTATCCATACACACATGTCACTTGCCTTCTGAAATGCACTGATCCATGTTATATTTACAACGGTTCCGAAACATATAAACTTCAACAGTAGCTTTTGGGATATTGATTGGGATATAGTTTGTTCGTTTTTGTTTTACGTCACACCGACACAGTTTAGGTCATATGACGTCGTTCCAGCTTAACAAGTGGAGGAAGACTTCAGGGGCTTCTCCGTGCATTATTTCAGGCACGGACGAGCAGCAGAGCAGAGCAACACCGACGTTCCGTAAGCTAGCTTGGGATATTGTGATGATAGAAGAAAAACACTAAAGTATTATTTATTGCAACATATTAATGTCATAATCTGTTGATTAATCCCTGGGACGATTTCATGGGGCGGCGTCATGCTATCTCGCTGATGGAGTTTGTTTATTCTATGCCGTTATATTTGCCCCAGAAGACAGCGAATACATTTTAGTTACTATTGGTACATGTAATAAGTCTTTAGAGAAAAAAATACTAAGAAATTTATTTTATTTTTCTATATTTAAAATGTTTTTGTAAAACGTGGTAAGTATTGCATTTCATGTTTTAACACACGAAAAGAAGAGTCTATGCAAACTGATGATAAGGAAAAATGTTATCTGTTTGATAAGTTGATAAGTAAATGTATAGATATTCATTTAGAACAATCACCCTGACATACTTGAAGCGGTACATGACGTCTTACTGTACTCATTGTTGATATGTTTAAAAACGTTATATTCTACAATTATACTTACTTTAAGCGTGAACAATGCATTTTGAGTTTACAAATTTTGTTTAAGCCAATATTGAGTACAAGTGTATTTATTTGTATTTTCACTGATAAGCAAATCCCATTCATAAACAGAATTGCAAACTGAATTTGTTTTAGAATTGTTGCAAATATTCCCTTAATTATTTCTTTACCGTTTCAATTGCTGCATATAGTAATTTCCAAAATTGTGGATTTGAAATTTTTCAGTTGCAGACGAAATTTACATATACGTATAACTTCATTTATACTAGCGTATAGATGTCTCATTAACTACTACCCAGATGAGAATATGTGTCTGTTTCACCAATGCGTCTAAACGATGCTGAATGGGCATGATCATAGTCAGTTTCTCTGTCTTTTATATCATCAATTACATTGTCAGTGGTATTACATCTTGCAACTGATGATAATTTATTATAAGAGACATCGTCACTGTTTACAACTTGTTTGCCTTCCTCTGATAGCGGAATGCTACATGTTTGTGAATATGTAAAGTCATTGATGATGTTTCTGTTTATGCCTGTAACAGCGATATGGGAATAATTATCATTCATACGCAGGGTCGTCTTATTGCTTAGTTGACCATAGTTGTTCTCTTTACTATCATTATCTTGTAACACATCTATTGTGTGATATGTATTCGCTGATATATCCCCTGCTTCTGTATTATCCTCCTGAATTTCTGCATATACTCTATCTTGCGAATCTACACCTTGTGTAAATGATATCTTCCGGTCAACGTCATAACACTTGTTTGTAATGGTATGAGCAGATGCCTTGTCTCTTACAATCGTAGTATCTTTACTTCTTTTATTTTTGCGCCTTAAATGACAGCGGTTAAATAAATCTTTAGAATTGATCTTTATTGCGATTACTCTATGTATGACTTGTCTAATATAAATAGCATTTGTGTGGCAATATAACTATTAATCATAAAAAATATTTTTTTTAAAGCAATATATTTATAACGATGTAATATATCATTTTCAAATAAGTAGTAAAGTGCTTAGGAAATCTCTTATAGTATTCCATAGTTGCTTCCTCTAATTAAATATAAAAAAGAAATCTAAATAGAAATAGGTAATTAAAATGTCAAAACCCTGCATGGGATTTCGGAATGAAAACGTTTTATCTTCTACAAGAAAGTCCATGTACTCAAACATAATACCTGAACAAAAAGACGATGAGACCCAATGCTGCCAACACGAAAAGTACAACTAGTATGGTAACAGGGACAATCAAGGACAATGATTTTGCTTCTGAAAGAAAACATAATATTCACCGAACAGGTTTTTATTTCCTGAAACGTGCTAGCTTTTTGGAAGATCTAATCTTTCAGTTGTATTAGATTTTGATGTCAGAAAATATTAGATATACTGATTTGATTAATATTTGGTGTACAAGAGGTTATAAGTTGTCTGTCTTCGAACTATTTAGATATTTGATACTCTGTAAAAAGATAAAACCAACCTGCATGAGTTGAATAAGTTATAGTTACTGTCTCTGACGAAGAATACACAACTGTAGAACTATAACTCAGAGTGGACAGTTTACTCTCGGTATTTGTATCTGCAATTAAACTTTCGACTGTTATCAACATTTAATCGAGAAATTATAATTCTTCGATTATTCTATTTGTGAAAATAAGAATATATATTAACAAATGTTGAGTTTGTTTTACACTGGAAAATAGAGAGCGATTTTGTTTTTAATTATGTCAACCACATAGGGACGTTGGTAGAAGGCTCGTAGTCACGGTCCTTCTATCATTAATGCATGTAAGTACTGCATAGTCTAGAGATGGATTGTTTGCTTTTTTGCTTTGTTTTGTTTAAACAAATATTATCATAATTTGGCTTAAATTGATATTTTAAATTTACAATATCTAATACCTTAAGGAAGACGTATTGCTGCAAACCAAAAGAAAACATGATAAATTGCTGAAAAGCAAAAAGAACAAAAAAATCAAATATTTATATAACCACCAAGATAAGAGTAAAATAAATCCATTTATGAATATCTAATATTAAAAGTAAAGATTACACCAAATTCAATTTTACACTTAACTTTTAAATTCAAATGTTTAAGTTTTAACTTACAAGTTTGCGTATGTCTTGAAATGGTTGTTTGTTTTTCAGTTGAATCATCGTTGCTTGTGTGTTGTGTGACGTGACCGGAAGTTGTTTCACTCATTGTTGTTATATCTTTGATGATGAAGTATTGAAAAAGAAATATCAACAAATTATTGAAAGGTGAAAAAGTGTCACTGTTTAATAACTTGACTGTGCATTACCATTACGATCAGGCGGATGAATAGCAATAATACATTCAGAAAAGAATGATGTTTTATGTATTATATTTATTAAAAGTATATACATGTATTTTTAATTCCTATAACTCTCACATATCATGTCAATGTTGTTTATTTGTACTTTTTCATTTCATACAAAATTAAATATCAGACATGTATGGGGAAAATGAATTATAGATCTATAGTGATTAAATCTGTTAAATGCACTTTTGAAGAAAGACCGACGTGGAATAAATGTGTTTACACCATTTCAATCTATTGAGCTACATCTATGCACGAAAGTAAAATAAGGTAAGAGTAAAAAAATATAACAAAATGGGTAAAAATTGCATAAGGAGATAAATGAGAAATGAAAGAACCTTAAACTATAGCTTCAAGAAGCCTGACCCGGATACTTATTTGAATGAGATATATGAAACTGTAAAATAATAATTTGAATTTAAACAGAATGATTGTACACTTTCTGACAAATAACGAACGTGTTGTTTATGTTTCATATTTAACTTACTTTCAGAACAGTTTTTGCCTGTATATCCAGATAAACAAAGGCATGTATAGTCCTCAATTCCATCAATGCACATATCTGCATTATAACATGGAAAGGGATTACAGTCGTCTGTAATGAGAAAACAAGATATTTAACTATAAATCAGAGGCAATACCAAAACATGACAGGACATCTTAAGTTACTGAGAAATCACATCCTTAACAAAAAACAACCACATTTCTTTTTATACAGGTACTTTGGAAGGACGAGTTCTTTCACAATTCAAAATATTATTTTGTAAACTACAGGTAGCCGATATGTTGCTTCATTAACTTTGAAATAGCAATTCATAATAATAATTTTAATTCAATACATTTCATTTGATATCAGTTTTATCACAAATTCTAATCGACGCCTGAAACCTATTGTATTTTCCTCAAAATGTTGTGTTCAAATTAACTTATGATTGCTTGACACCATAAAAACATTATATAAAATATGTCAGGTGTGAATATAAATATTAAAATAGAATATTTTATGTAGAAAGTGACAGTGCGAATTATCGGAAGTGATACTTTTTCTTGTTGCCCCTTACTAAATCATTATGCTCTTTGTTCAGTTAGGTTTATATTTATGCCAATCACTTTTAACCATTGTAGGGGGCGTCCGAGGCCGAGTGGTTAAGGTCGTTGACTTCACACCACTTGCCTCTCACCGCTGTTGGTTCAAATCCCGACAGGGACTTTGGATTCTCTTAAGTGAGGAAGCTATCCAGCTAGCTTACGGAACGTCTGTGGTTCTACTCGGGTGCCCGTTCGAGTCTGAAATAATGCACGGAAGGGCATCTGAGGTCTTCCTCCACCAGTAAAGCTGGATTATCGCCATATGACATTATACTGTGTCGGTGTGACGTATAACCCAATCAAACAAACAAATAATTTAACCAGTCGAAAGTAGAACTCGTTTATCATATTTACCTATATATGCACAAGCACTTCCGGATGCATTCCAATAATTTGACCAGTGTTTCCCTCCCTTAAGACATCGAATAATTGCATTGACTTTTAAGGTGTAGCCTCTCTCACATTTATACGTTCCTCGTGTCTGATCCACAAGCTCAATAGAGCCATACGGAGGATTAATCGGTACATCATTACACACTGAAAGCAAACAAAAATTACAAGTTCTGATTAACATATTGAAATCAAATACAAATAGCTAGTACATCACGCTGCAAGAAAGGAGAAACATCTAGTGTAATGTTACATACTGCAACAAAAATGAATTGCCATGTCAATATTGCATACAAACAACAAAACAAATTTGTCAATTTAGCATTACATACTGCAACAAAGACAAATAACCAGTAAATAATATCATCCTGCAAGTCAAGAGCAATAACTATTTCAGCATTACAGAGAAATTGCAATTTCAACAAAATGAACTGCAACAAGAGAAATTGCCAGTATTAAATTAAACAACTGAAGATGAAAGTACATCATTACGTATATATCAAAATATTTATTGCCAGTAAATCATTGCATATTGGATACAAACAAAAATTACCAGTAAATGGTTAAAATACTAAATACGAAAAGATATTGCCAATTTATCATTTACATATTACAAGTGAAGTGAAATTGTCAGGACACAATAACATTGCAAGTAAAAAGAAATTGTCAGTACTGAAATTACATATAGCAAGCAAAGAGAAATTTTCAGGGCACAATAACATATTTCAAACCCATAGAAATTTTCGGAAACAACTACAAATTGCAAGCCAAGGGGAAGTTTCAGGACAAAATTACAAATTGCAAGCTATGAGAAATTTTCAGGCAACAATTATAAATTGCAAGCCGAATGATATTTCCAGGACAAAATTAATCACTGCAAGCCAAGAGAAAATTTTAAGACAAAATTACAAATCACAAGCAAAGAGAAATGACCACTACATGTTTACACACTGAAAACAGAAAAAAAGCCAGAGTACATTATAACATATAAAACAAAGAGATTATCTGTACATGATTGCGTACTAAAACACAGAATAATAGATCTAGCAAGGGCATTATATCGTATAACAAGAACTGTCGGAGGACAGTAACGCTCGACTATTCGAAACGTTGTCATAAGTGTGTTTCATTGAGTATAACAATGCTAACCTATATGAATCCATAAAATTGTCCGAAAAGGTTTAAAGGCTTGTTATTAAAATGTGTTATCGAGTAAATCACTTCTTTATTATTATAAAATGCATAAAATTGTTCAAAAAAGGCACAAACCCTTCAGCAGTTATGGAGATATTTGCTTATCCAAGCATTTCTAAGTAGAAAAAGGGGCATAATTATGCAAAAAAGCAAATCAGAGTTACTGGACTTATGTCAATCATCTTAGATAATCATAGAAAACAAGTGTGTGAAGTTTCAAGGCATTCCCTTCAGTAGTTATGGAGATACGAGCTTGCACGCACAAACTGAACCAAGAATTTCTAAGTCGAAAAAGGGGCATAATTATGCAAAAACGCAAATCAGAGTTATGAGACTTATTTCAATCATGTTAGATAATCACAGAGAACAAAATTGTGAAGTTTCAATCCATTCCTTTCAGTAGTTATGGAGATACAAGCTTGCACGCAAAAACTTAACCAAGAATTTCTAAGTCGAAAAAGGGGCATAATTATGTAAATCAGAGTTTTTGGACTTGTGCCAATCATGTTAGATAATCACAGAGAACAAGTGTGTGAAGTTACAAGCCATTCCCTTCAGTAGTTATGGAGATACCAGCTTGCACGCAAAAACTTAACCAAGAATTTCTAAGTCGAAAAAGGGGCATAATTATGCAAAAAAGCAATCAGAGTTATAGGACTTGTGCCAATCATGTTAGATAATGACAGAGAACTAGTGTGTGAAGTTTCAATCCATTCCCTTCAGTAGTTATGGAGATACCAGCTTGCACGCAAAACTTAACCACAGGGACGCCGACGCCGACAAATGGGTGACTGCATTAGCTCGATTACTTTGCGAATAGTCGAGCTAAAAACAATAAGCTACAGCTGGTATATGCTAACATACTGGATCAATCAAGAAAGAGATTATAGGCCATAACATGATATAAATCGAATGTGTATCACTCGACTTGATTGTATGAAATTCTGGAAACGAAGTGATCCCTCGGAAGCATTAATCACAACAAAATAACATAAGAATTGCAGACTCGGTTTGATTGAGTCTGTACATGAGGGATAATGAATAAGTGCAACATCCCTCACGCCCCCTAGCACCGGCTTAAGCGGTACTCAATTCTCAACACTTTAAAGTGTTGGCATCAATGATCCCAAAGGACCAGAAAATATAACAACACTGAAGTGAAGTACGGGGCAACTTTTTACGGCTGCCACACGGCACTTGACACCTGCTGTTGTGAAGTACAAAAGACGTATTCTCACGAGTCCACGGAATGAATGACGTCATATGACGTCAGATGTGACATCAACACCCCAAATGTGGTTCATAATTTAATACTGAAGATATAGAGAAAACAATTTAATCATTATTGCAAAGTGCAAATATGGTAAATATATGTGGTTAATCATGGAGAAGTAGCAGTTACGTTGGAAAATACGTATATCGTATGTATATTTAGAGGAAGAAATGCATGTATGTGGTTAGCTAATAAATTGTTCACATAAGAAGAAATGTTTAGACGAATTATTATTACACAGTGCAAATTATGAGCAGTAAAATGTATAGTTTATAGTCTGCAAATAAGGAGAAATTGGTGTTATAATTCCATAACATACTGTAAAATAGAAGAAATATAGTTGATATGCTATCACATTTTGAAAATAAGGAAAGACATGAAAACCATCAGAACTGCAAATTTGGCATATTACTTGGTTCAAAAATAGCATGCTGTAGCTTTTAAAAAAGGAACAGATGCCATTTCAATTATTAGAAAACAATCAATCATACCACAGGCTTCATATTTGGACCCTTTTCTACAATCAGTTAGATCTTTTTCTGCACCTCCGAAAATGAATCCTGAAAAATATTGGACGAAATTTTTGTATCTAACGTTTAAAAAATATAATAGTAATATTGATTTGAGGATTTTATGTCACAATAACATTTTTCTTGATCGATTCTCATTAGAATAATCAATACGTTAAATATCAAATGTATTAAAATAAGTAATAAGAATTAAGACTTGTTTGATTTTAAACTAACTATGCAAATTAACATACCATGGAATAGAAAAAGAATATACAACATGATTTTATCCATATCATATTATAATACTGATATCCATGCACAGATAAGAAGTAAATTAAGGAAGTTGAAATGAGATCCGCTTGAATTAGATCGTAATTGTGTCCTCCCACTTAATTTTAGTATGATAAAACCTAAAGTATGTTTGTCATGATACAATACAAGGAAATGAACACTTACCAATCGCAACTTCTCGGCCCTTTCCGTCTAACTTCGGATGAGGACCTCGAACACAATAGTAAAAACTAGAAATGTGTCATCATGCCACGGATGCCCCCGCATGCAGCCAAAATTTCAGATGTTATAATATTTAGTTCCAAATTTGTTTGCACAAATTATTTTTTTCATTTTAAGTTCAAAGCCCTTAAAACGTTTCAATGTTAACACAAACCATTTCCATACAATGTTCAAGGCACTGAAATTATTCTGTCTTAACCTTTTGAAAATAGCATATTTCATATTTGTAGCCAAAATAATGGCTACATACATTTCCACAAAAGTATGAGTGCTGAAACTGAAAGTCCAAAAATTTTCAAACATTCAAGAAAGATAAGTCTGTCTAAAATCATTGAACCACGACCAAATTCAAACTTAAACTGCTTATTCCTAAGATGTATCTATATTATTTTCAAAGTGAAAGGGACATAACTCTGCCAAAAAATCATCGAACCATGACCAAATTCCAACTTGACCTGCCCATTCATTTGACATATCCATATGTCAAATTTGTGTTGAATATGTAACACTGTTGGGTAGATTATGAACAGAAACTGTAAATTTCATATTATTTTCAAAGTGAAAGGGGCTTTACTCTGCCAAAAATCATTGAACCATGACCAAATTTAAACTTGACCTGCGCATCCCTTTGACATATCCATATGTCAAGTTTGAATTGAATGTGTTGTACCGTTGGGGAAATAATGAACGGAAACTGAAAATTTCATATTATTTTCAAAGTAAAAGGGGCATTACTCTGCCAAAAATCATCAAACCATGACTAAATTCGAACTTGACCTGTATTTTATCATGGCATATCCATATGTCAAATTTGAGTTGAATGTGTTGTACCGTTGGGGAGATAATGAACGGAAACTGAAAATTTCATATTATTTTCAAAGTAAAAGGGGCATAACTCTGCCAAAAATCATCGAACCATGACCAAATTCAAACTTGACCTGTATTTTATCATGGCATATCCATATGTCAAGTTTGAGTTGAATGTGTTGTACCTTTGGGGAGATAATGAACGGAAACTGAAAATGTCATACATTTTGTATTATTTTAAAGTAAAAGGGGCATAACTCTGCCAAAAATCATTGAACCATGACCAAATTCGAACTTAACCTGTATTTTCTCATGACATATCCATATGTCAAATTTAAGTTGAATATGTGCAACCGTTACTTAGATAATGAACGGATACTGATGATGACGGAATGACAGAATGACGGAATGACGGAAGGACGGAACAGGGTAACACTATATGCCCCGGCCATTACATGGCGGGGGCATAACAATCGCAACTACTTGGATCTTTCCGTCAGTCTTCGGATAAGGACCTCGAACACAATAATATGAATACACAGAACGGATGCGGTATTTCGGTCTAACCTACGCTAAGAAACTAAACATGTAAACAAATAGTAATTTAATGCTGGGAGTTGTTGACAAGTTTATTTCCAATATATGTAGTAAAAGTCCACCTAAAATAAGTGAATTCATAGGTACAAAAGCTAACAATACATTAGTTATATATTTATTATTATTGTTGTAGAAACCGAAAGTACACAAAACCAACCTGTTGACAATGAGTTGGATTTGTTAAAAATTGAGCATCAGTGGGCATATTTAAATTACAAATTGTTTTCAGACATATTTTCAAGCATAATAATACCGGAACAGACATATGATGTCAAATATATACATTCGTTTTACATTATCTCTGTTTCTGTTTACATCTGAAACCACGTGGTAGAACTACTTTCAATCCGTATTGTTTCCGAGGTTATTATAGATTATAGCCGAGACAGTTCCGAATGTAGTAACAAGTAAAATGGTTTCCTGCGGGGAACGTTTTTAATGATATAAATGTATTTCATTTAACTATTTTCAATGGGGGGGGGGGGGCGAGGATAAATAAACGTTTGTATCAGGAATATAGTTGACAGTAATCGATAAATATAGAAGAAGGTCTTTGGAAACTGGTGACCGTTGATGACCGGAGAAGGTCGAACATAAAACAATTATTTCTTTTTTAAGAAAATAATTAAATAGGCCTACCATTTTATGAATAATTCCGAGCAAAAAAATAAATAAAGTAAACACACAAGTTTTCGCAGAAAATATCTCTATTTATTATGGCAGATGCCACTACGAATAGTTTAATTTTGTAGATTTTCAGTATAAACAATTTATTGTTTGTAACATTTTGAGATACATATTAAAGAAACATTGATAATTTTCAAACACATCATTCAAGTTTTTCCACCTTAAACGGTAACATAATTATAGAAAATTAAAAATATCACGTAATAGTTTTTTGTTCTTAATTAGGTGTCTTATTCCCTAGAGGATTATCCGTAACGTATCGGCAAACGGTATTTATCCAGGTTTCCGAAAAGGTCAATTAACAAATCATGTACGGTTTAGAGATCACATGCTCCTTCATGTACCGAAAACAGGTCACGTGCTCCTCCATGCCTCAAAAGTTAAACGCGTACCAATACCCTGCGGTCTCCAGACCGCAGGGAAAAATACACAGAACGAATACGGTAATTTGGTCTTACTTACGTTAAGAATCTACACATGTAAACAAGTAGTAGCGTTGTCGGCTAAAGTTATTCCAATACACGAGTAAAAGTCCTACTGCATGAAGTTGATTTATAGATATTTAAAAGTAAACACTAGAAAATTTACGTACTTATTATTAGGGTTCTCTACCCGTTGACAATATTTCGGAGTCGGTAATAATAATACATCAGTGAGCATTTTTAAATTGATTATCATTGCCAGACATATGTTCAATCATAATTTTACCGAAATTGACTTTCCTTTCCTTTGCATGTCAAATAAATGCATTTGTTAATTATCATAGATTACACTCACATCTAAAACCACGTGGTAGTACTTCTTTCAACCCGTATTAAGTCCGGGATTATTATGATAGTTGAGATCAGCCTAACATTCGTTTACTTAAATGAGACATATTGAGTGAGAATTTCATAATTATATTGTATTAAATTTCCACGATGAAAATATTTTACCCCAAAGATAAACATAATATATTTTGAAGTAAGAGCCAAAGAATTAAAATAATTATATGAACAAAAACCAAACTTTTTTTTTGGGTTTACTCTTTTTTCATACAGAATGTGACCCAATTGAATTTCACTTTCCCAAGCCCCAAACCCATTTTTAAATTAATCATATTTTACATTTTTTAATGGGAAGGGCTGAAATGCAAACCGTTTAAAAGCTAAAAAAACATCGAAAGTGCATTTTGAAAGTACCCTTTTTGGCTTTAATTTTTCCCCTCATTTTCTTTTTCCCATTTAGGGGCTAAGAAAACAACTTGAAATTTTGGGGTTTTACCCTTCACTTTTTGGGGTTTCTTTTTGGGGACAATCTCTCTTTATTTTCATTTTTATACTAAAAATTTTGGAGGGTTAAAACAGTTTTTAAAATTTTTTAAAGGAAGTGAACCCGTTATTTTTTTGTTTTTTCTTTGGGGAAAATCTTTTTATAAATATTTTGAATACTGCTTTTATAAAAAAAAATGGCAGGAGTCTAGGTCAATATGATTTTTTTAGGATACAATGTTGATTTGTATTTGTCATGGTCTTCATAGAAAAATTGTTTACTTTTTCAATTGAATCCATTAATTGCAAAATAAATAAATCACTGGTAAAAGTCCAGGCTGCAATGTAAATATTAAACAAGTGAACAAACAAAAAGCTATTTTACTACAGTATGAGACAAAAATGTAAGTAGACAAAGAATAATTTTGGCAATCTATTTTCAATAAAATTGTTATACAAACTCATTTGTCAACAGTTACAGTACAGTACTGTAGCCGTGTCATATATTACCAATAAAATTATAGGGTATTAAATTTCAAGGCTACTCTACTGTACAGTATGTAATTATTGACACATAAGTTTGTATTAACAATTTAAGATTGGTTTAAAATATGTTTAATACACCTGTACAGTATGCTGCTTTTGGAAATAAACAATAAATAGGCTGTTTTTTGAAATACAATACCCTCCCAAGGGAAGGTGCCATCATTATATAAACTATTTGCAACGCATTTTTAATATAATCCTATAATTTATGTTAGTTCCCATTATAAATCATATTAAGATTCCCAGTACATATGTACTCCTCATGCATACCATTACCATATATTGTACAAGGACTAAATTTCTATCATTTATTGATCCAGACTTTGTTGCTGATGGTAATATTTTGTGCTTTTTTGTGATTTTAGGTCATTCCAATTTTGCAAGTTTTAAAAGTTTTGAATTTTTTAAATAGATAACCATCCACATGTTGGGACCATATTCCTTCAAGACCACAAGGGATAGGTAAGTTTTTATACCTGTTTAAAAGAGCAGATAATTTTTACTATGATTGTATACATACATGTATATAAATAATCCTCATAAACTGACCATTCTCAACCCTTTTTATTCAAATAAAAATAATGATAGATTTCCTGAATTGCAGTTGAAAACAAATTTAACTTGTTATCAATTTAGCATTTTTAGAGATGATCATGAGATCTTTAAAACTATTGTTTTAAAATTTTAAAAACTCTGCAGGCCTAATGTAAAAGGAACTAAATAAGAAACAATGCTGCATTGTGATATATTCAAAATTACTCTGTCATTTATGTATTGAAATTAAATATATACTGTATACATAATTTTCAGGACACATAATTATTTTATCTATTTGCTGGTGTTACTTAAACACTATTGCAAAATGAGGCAAAATGTGTGAATCTATGTTCATTGGAGCATTAAAAGGGAAGAGGATCAATTTTATTAACTGACAGTATTGGTCAAATAAAAAAAAACTTCAATTTGGGGTAAGTAATGTAAGGATTTTATTCTACTATATTTATTCAGTTTTCCATATTAAAAATTTCCCCTTTATTTGATTGAAATAAAATGAGTGTCATTCATCAACAAATTCACAACTACATGTATTAATGTAGATTTCGATTTATTTTGATCATGTTAAATGCTAAACATTATATATAGACCTGTAATATATTACACAAAACTTATATGAAGCCAATAGCTGTGCCAATATCATACAACAATTATTGTAGGTTTATATCTGTTCAGTCAAATCATTCCATAATACAATTCATTGTTTGCATTAAAATTATTACCAGATTTTTTTTGATTTTGTTTCAGGATGGGCTGTGAGAAGTCAATGACTTGTCTATGTTTGACAGTATGCCAAAGGTGAATTAGTGAAAAAGCTGAATGTGCAAGTGGCAGATGCGCAATAGATTTTTACTGATTTAAAACAAGTTTTGCAATTTTAAAAATCATTTTTCACTAAAAAACTGATGCATAAGAGTAAACTTTGATTGTGTTCCCTTTTTTGCTAAAACCCCACAAACTGGATAGAAATTTTTGCAAGATACGTTGCCAAGTACAAAGACATTAGCTTTTTGTGACTTGCAGGGTTTTGCCCAAAAATTATGGTTTTAAATCTGTAAATGTTTCAAAATTTTAAAAAATTTCACTGTTCTATTTTTTAAAGGGAATTCTGCTTAAGAGTTTCTAGGGGTTAAAAGTAACTTTTAAATTTCCATTACCGTCCAGAAAAGGCTCAATAAAAAACCCAGCCTGAAAAAAATTGTTAAAATTTTGTTTTCTTGGGATTCTTTTTGGGGTTCTTTTGTCTCTATTTAAAATTTTATAGAAATTATTTCCCAAAAAAAAAAATACTAATATGTTAAATAATTTCATATTTTACAGTTTTAAAAAAACGAAATATTACACATCAAAATCTGTAAATGAAAAAAATAGTCAGGAAAATAGTCAAGCTCTGAAAGGGCCTTTTTAAAAAAAATTTTTTTGAAAGAGAATATTAAAATGGGTTTTTCTTTTATGAAATGCCATTATTTTAAAATTTTACAGTTTTTTTGCCACCACAGCATCGGTTTATGCCCGGGGGCAATTTTAGCGAAATTACCTTTTGGTGTGGGGTGTTGTGTGTGTTTTGTGTGTGTGGTTTTGTGGTTTTGTGTTTTTATAGATTTTAATATAGGGGAACTTAAAAATCCTTTTGTTGGGAAAAAAAAATTGTCCAAAATTTCAACCAAACTTTACAAGTTTTTCAAAGAATTTATAAACCAAAAGAAAACTTTTTTTTCCATGGCAACCCCAAAAAAATTAAAGGATAAAATTTTAAAAAACTTTTGTAAAAACCCCCCAAGCCCAATTTAATTTAAATTTTTAAAGCAAATTTTCTGGGAGAAACCCCTACGAAAATTGTTTAAATTTACCTTTGGGTTTAAAATTGGGCCGGCCCCCGGGGGGATTGATTTACTATATGTACATATAGTTAAAAAATTAAAAACCTTCTTGCTGAAAGTTTAAGGCTTGAGCTTTGATTAAATTTTGTATTTTTTGAAAATCATATAGTACTTGCCCAAAATTTTCAAAATTTTGCCTCCCGTTCAAAAAAAAGCCCCCCCCTAGGGTTTATAAGTTTTTTTCGCCCTTAAAAAAAAGGGGACATATAGGGGGGATTTTTTCATTCCGGGTCCCCTTAAGCTTTAGGAGCATAAGTCAGTCATTAATAAGCGATTGACTTTTAAACTTATTTTGCATCTTCTTTAAGACCCAAAGTGCAGGGGCACCCAAAAACTAAAACTCTGGGCCATTTCTTTTTAAAATTTTAAAAAACTATGGGCTTAAAAAATTTATATATGATAGATTCATTTAGAAAGCTTTTTCAATTACCAAAAAATAAAAGGGTTTGACATTTTGATTAAAACAAAGTGTTTGTTAACCTTCTGCAAATTGTTCAAAATTTAGCCCCCGGCAAAATTGGGCCCCCCCTGGATCATGATTTTTTATCACTTTCATAAAGTTAAAAAAAATTTTTAAAATCTTCTTGTTGAAGGGACTAAAACTTTTATAAAAAACAATTAAAGTAATTTATCTAGCATTATGGGAACTTAAAAAAACAAAAAAAATTGTGTTCCCACAAAATTTTAATTTTTAAAGTTTTTTTTTAATTTTTTTTTTTTTTGGGGGCTTGGATTTTTTTCCCAAAATTTCAATTTGTTTTTCTCATTTTTGTTACCCCGGGGAACCAAAAAAAACACTTTTTTAAACATTGCAATTAAAAAATATATATGTTTTTCATTGTATTTAAAAATGTATATCAACCCTGAAGCTTTTGAGTTTTATAGAGGGCTTTTCTTTTGTTTAAAGAATTAAACCTTAACATAGAAAAATTTCTGATAATTGAAATTTAACTTTAGTTTTTTTCTGATTTTAAAAATAATTTAAAGGGGGAATGAAAAATCTAAATTTTTTTTTTTGTGAAAGGGCTTAAATCTGGTTTTCTTTAAATACATTTTCGTGAGAATTAATCATGTCAAATGCAATAAAATTTTTATTTGAAGGGATTTTTTTTAATTTTTTTGGGATTGGGAACCAAATTTTATAGTTTTTTTAAACATTTATTTCATATTTTATACATAGATGAATGAAATTTTTATTTTTTTTTTTTATTATTCAAAAATATAAAAAAATTTTTATTTATATATAACCAATAAAAAAGTTTAACATGTTATTTTTTGTTTTAATGATGATATTCATAGAAATTAGAATATTTCGTAAAATATTCAAGTAATTTTTTAAAAAAAAATCAAGCTGTTTCCATCTATTCAACCAAAAAATTTATGTTGTTCTAACCCAAAACTGGTCATAAATTGATTTCTGTCCAGAGTAAATTGAAAGAGTGCATCCGCTTTTTTTGTTACAGTCGTCTTTATACACTTGACATATCGAATACTAGAGTGCAACCCGTTTGTGCACGATGCATATATACCAAAAATAACATCCTATATAAAGGAAGTGCAACCCGTTTTAGCACACACCTTACATACCCTTATGGATTCCGTTTTAAGAGTGTAACCCGTTTTTTGTACACACCTGTATATCTCAAAAAAAGAGTCTATATTAGAAGTGCAACCCGTTTTTTACAC